TATATAGGGTTATCAATCAGTGTAGTGCTAGACACTCCAACCATATTTCTCATGTGTGATGAACTTCACATGTTCACAGGTGACAATGTGGTAGGAGGATCAGCACACTGGTTGAGCACGCTAGTTGTGCACTTCAAGAGGCCAAAGCCGCAGTTCGATTAAGCTTGCAGGTGTGTCTGCTTGAAATGTTATCGATGGAGCCAATAATGCATTTGTTTCGTGTGACATCAGTCAAATGCGCCTTAATCACAGTCGGTTAGATTTCATCTCTTCCTTAATCGGAAAGCGTAATTTGGTTCAGTAGACCTAATCAACAAAAGCTTTCGCGAAGTAATCATCTAGCTTCTGCGCTCATCATACTTCAACAGCCACTCACATGCAAAGATTTCTGGGAATTTCACTCCCAACTATAATGCGAGACTTAGCTTTTGACAGGATTGCCATCTCGCATGTTTTTTGACCGTAAGCGAGCTGCATCCCGAGAAAGACCTAACTGACCAACTAGGAGTGTACAGTGTTCTTTAGTTTTAACAGTCTCAGCATATTCATCTCACCGTAAACATCGGGATTTCCTTTTGTGGATTGAACCACCAAAATATAGAGTTTAACGTAATAATCGGTCGGATGCAATACCGAATTTGATCGTTTAAACACAGCCATTTGAGTTACTAAACCTATTCATCTCGATTGTTGTGTCACTTCGATCAACGAAGCGAATGCCGAAATCTGAACATGTTACCCGATCTCCATCAAATCGAACCACCTGTGTCGTCGACATGATAGTAACCTGTTACTGAAGGGAAGAATGTTAAATAATATGGTGAGATCGCCGTGGTCATGTGGATGTAAGATTTGGAATCTTTTTGTACGTGATAAAAACCAAGTATTCGACTTGAACAAGTTATTTATACAGTGCCACACGCTGTACTGCCGATCCTATTACATGTTGTATGATATATGGCAGTCATCTAATGTACGCCCAATTGCTGTTTTGATGCAAACATACTGGTTGCGCGCGTCTGGCAAGTAACTATGCATGTCCAAAAATCGCTTAACCTAAGATTGAGACGAAGTATGATGTGGGGACAGACTACAATGTGGGGAATTAGTATCAAAGACCTGACATGAAGTCTCAATCACGCTGGTTCATACAATCTTCCAGGTCAAAGGGCTAAAGTTGCCTTGGTGTGTTATTCCAGTGTCACGTGACACGAGAATAAGCACACAACAATGAGAAGTGGCCCTGAAGTCATCTCCTCGAAGGACTCCTCCACGTTCTTCGGAGTTCTCACATTGTTTCACACGACACTTCATTTTTTATCCTTGTCTCTTAAAATCGCCCTAAGCCAAATACGTAACAACAAAACCAATAGTACCATGGTGAGTCACGGCCAAATGTAAACAATCGGACAGATGGTTTAACAATAAAATGCTTTCCGAACAGGTTCCAGACCACTGATCACCTCAAGATCACATCCGGCAGAACGTAGCGGTAAACACAGCAATCTTTACTAGCCAGTAGCACCGATAACTTGCTCCCTTTTATCGTAGACTTCGCCTTTGCGCTTATTTCTCTTTGACGGTATTCCACCGCGATCGCATAGCTTTGGGCATGTTTGACGGCACCGCTCATTGCATAGACTAATTCGCCGTTGGGTCGGAATACGGTGATATTCAGTCGATTGTGATTATCCACTGAATGAAAATCAAAAAGGTAGTAAACATGAATTCATTTGTTCGATCCAAACTGATATGAGCTGATGACAGTTAGTAGCATAGGAGGAAAGGGATAGGCAGAGGTTCAAGTAATTTTAAATACCATAAAAAGTAGTCACGAAAAATTGGAACAAAAACATCCGTCCTTAATCCATACGTTAAAGTGCATCCGATTTCAATTGGACGGTGTTCTTAATCGTCCACCACCTCTACTTAATTCTTAAATGGTTGGCCAATTTTGGGCACCAAAAGCGTTCACACCACTATCCAGCATGTAGCGAACTCTAGACTCCCAGTATTTTTGTGAGATGAACTCTGCTAATCATTTCCAATGGGCGTGAAACAGCCGTAGAGTGGTTCTCGGTCTTTCAGCATACACTGACTTCAGTTACAGGATAACATCTCACACTACCATAAAACAGTGTTCGTCTGATCCTATGATGACATAATATGGCAGTCGATATGTTTGAAAGTGGATTTAGATTTTCCCTACTACGATTCATCAGAATTAAGCCTAAAATTCGGCGCAATCTTAGATCTTGAGTACAACAGACTCAATATTAAATAAGTGAACCGTGTTTATGAAAAGAACATTACTCTTAAGGCTGCTGAAAATTGCCCGACAACGCATGGCTGCTTTTGCCCTACTTTGGGACTAGGTAGGCGCCTTGAGTACAACAGACTCAATATTAAATAAGTGAACCGTGTTTATGAAAAGAACATTACTCTTAAGGCTGCTGAAAATTGCCCGACAACGCATGGCTGCTTTTGCCCTACTTTGGGACTCATCAGGTAGGCGCAGCCTTTGAGTTTTCGTCAATCATGTGTTCCAACTGCATCCACATTGTACGAAATTGGCAGGCTACATTCGTTTGCTGGAAACTTCGTTTTTAAAGTAGACACAACTCAATCCAGCTGAATATTTTGTTCGTGGTGTGCCTCATGTTTTTACCAGTAAGATGTTCGAAATGTTACAGTATATTCTCTTGAAGTGAGTCCAACAACCTTATGAGTAGTGTGTTAGACTGGGAAAATGCATTGCATCAACTGAAACGTGAGATGACCTATGCACAACAAGCTCAGATAAATGATATTCTGAACGGGTGGCTCACCTGAGATTCAGCCGACTAAATGTTTGCGAACCAAGGCTTGGCAAACAGATCAGCTGCGACATGGTAAAAAAACAACAAACTCAGCTGGGTTACAAAAATTTAGATCAGTTTCCCATCTGGATCGCAAATCACCATGTACAGTCAACAGATCTAGGCCATCCTTCGTTAGCTGACGGGTGAATGCCGTCTAGACGAATACGCTAGTTATTCCTGTTCCGAATTTGAGCAGTAAAAATCATCCACTGGTTTGCATTTTTTTCCTCTTGGCTCCCCTTCACAGTAGGTATGATGTTTGGAGCACGAACGGACTGCACTACAACTGCATTTTTTTAGTGGGGGCCGCGTTAAGCTTTAGTACTAGGATAATCCAATAGTCCGTTCACTATTTCATGGGGGTTGGTTGGGCGGCAAGTGAGTAGAGGAGTGAGCATGTCACCGACACTAAGCACCCGTTCGCCACTAAAGTACCGGTGGGAGCTCGTTATCCATCTAAGTTTCAGCATGATAATCGTACCAGCTTGCACGGGGTCGCACAGTGGCACAACCTTGAGCTGCGCTGTCCTTGACCCCCTCTGGATCTGTTTCATCATGTGACATAAGTTTCGGTTACGTGCACACTGGCTATGGTCACCCACCCATATGCAGGCGCAACGTATCAGTTACCGTTTCGAACACAGACCCTTCAACTGCCAAGAACATTTACTTGTTACTCAGGTTGTATACAGTCGTAACACCTGAATTTCTCTTACTGTATGCTTCTATAAATTCGGCTTGGCTGACAACGCACGAGCATTACCAGGCTACATATAAATATTAATCTGAGTCTATGACTCAAACTTAAGCTCAATCTAAACTTCGCACTTCTCAGTGAAATTTTCTACCTGCATAGTGAAAAGCTAGTGGTCTGAACATTCATCGGGCGCTACACGCTAACTCACCTATTACGACGAGTTCCTGGTTGGGCGTAACATCACTGCTTGTACCACAGGCCAGAATGGCTACACCCATCGGATAATTAGTCAAACCGCAAATTCCAATGGATCCCAGGTTTTCTCCAAGGTAGTTGTACAGCATTACACAGTGGTTAAGGTTGTCTGTGATGTAGATTCGGTAGTTGGAATCCACAGCAACGGCGGTCGGGAAGTCGAGGTCGACTTGAAAGCGTGATTGCATCATGCCGGTCCACGTATAGAGGCCAACTCGCATGATCTTCATGGGGAAGATTGAAGTAGAGTGAAGCAGGATGTGGTAAGTGGGTACTAGGTTAAGAATTCGAACCAGCAGATAGGCAGATGTAACTCACTAGACTGGGGATGTGTTACGCATCCGCAACCATCGTACACACAAGAATGTTTTGTTTTCTCTTCTGATCGATTATTGATGAAAGGTTCGCGGAGCACCCGGCTAAGATTGACAACGTACAATGAAAGTGGTTACGATCAACCCCAGTGCTGTGGGAGCCACACGCCTCACTGGCTGGGGTCAACTTGATTATGTTTGCACTTTGTTGGAGACCCTGCAGGACATGGTCTGCAACCGATCACACTGGCGCCCATGCTGTCATCTCCTTGCCCGACTGCCTGGCTAGAGCTTGTCCGTGGTGTGCAACGAGCTAAGATCGAGTGAGAGGACTCTTGGTCAATCCCGCTAATGCGGCATTGCTTCTACACGTTGCTCAGATGTGTTTATTTTAATGCCGTCCAGAGGAATAGATACCTTATTGTTGGTTGTTTACCTTAAGGCTTCCTCGCATTACTTCTTTACCCGTCCCCTTCATTCCACTCTTCACTCAGTCTTTTCTCCCTGATGGTTATATGGAAGCTAGGCACCACTACGTATTGCCGTTGTATTAATATCAATCATGCTGAAACTAACGAAGAACGAGCAATTTTTTCCAAGTGTTGGCCTGCAGTGGCCTTAAAACCTCTAAACTGCTGGGAGAATTATCAAGTGGGTTCACAGACTACAACTTCTAGACGCAAACCCATACTTAACACATGTTCTTCACCACCCCTTCGTTTACTAGTTAAGTGATTTTATTACTTCTAATTCCAAATGCCTTTGTATACGGATAAGTTGTTTAGGCACGTGAAACATTCGTTGTGATTTGAAAGTAGCAGCGCACAAACAAACTGACAGTTTACGCTTGCGTTGGCTAGAATGCATTTTTAGGAACACTCGAACGACAACTAACCGGTGGAAAAAATCAATATTTTGCATCACAAACTATATTTTGACCTTCCTAGATCCAGCCCATTTCCAGCGACAAAACGAACAAACTACATCTGATGTATGAAGTAAATAGACAATGGATTAGACGTAGCACACTAAGCATAAGGTTGCTGATGACTCTCCGACAACTCTTTAGGTATCTTACTAGTACTAACTACGTCCAAACAAAAACTTACTGCGATTCCTTGGATATCGTACAAGTTGAAACATAAGGCGGCTTCGTGAAGCGCATTCAGCTGGAGCTGACCATCACAAACGAGAAATGCAGTGGGATTCATTTGGGTCCCCTACTAAAACTAACTTCGTGTGTAACTAATAGTGTTTGTCGGAACAATGACTTATCTTTAATAAATACTTTGACTGCCAGATCAAGAATGGCGGTTTACAATGTTTATCGAAATCATACACAAATGACTAGACGGCAGTTCTACTGCGTCATCTGTCCAAGTAGGTAAGGTAACAAAAGTCTATGCAGAAAGAACGGTAGCAGATGTGGAACGTTTTTTCCTCCAGTAGTTACGCAGAAAAGCTGACCGAGAGACATAACGAACAAAATGATGGTAGTGTAAAGAGATTTGGTAATTTTCAATCGATATTTCGTCATGTGATCGAAGGTAATCTACCCTGGAAAGCCTGCAAGCACTGTACAACTGCTTTATCCTCATTTAGAATAATCAACAGTGCGCATCCGATGAAACTTCCGGGAGTTTTTGAGCACGAGTGGCCACGTGAGACTGAACAGTAATGTGATTAGCTCGCGCCTGAATCATCCAAACTGATCACATCACTGATCAGCCGCTCCTGGTTGAACTACTAGTTGGAAGGTCGCGGGTCGGAAACTATCTGGAGTTTCGGGAGCGAAACAATTGTACAATATCTCTCGGATTTTCAGCGGAGGCTGGCTCCATTTACAGAACGAAATATCCATAGCAAACCAAAGCCAGCCACTCGCTGTCCGCATTCATGGTCAGGAAAAAAGTTTATTTCACCTTTGTTTCAGAAGAGACCATCTGGCTACCTGTTTCAAACGTAGATTAGGAGCCACTACCAACGAATCAATTTTTTTCATTATAAGCTAGGTCCATATTAGAATTACATAATCACGTCACTACAGTTCATGGTATATGTCAGCCAGACCGTAACCGCAGTGCCGTTCACACGAGCGAAATTGGTGTTAGACTAGGTTTGCAGATTTCCAAATATCCTCTACCCATAATACTTGAATGGAACAGAAAAAGGAGTAACTCAAGCCAATTCATCCGGGTTACCACGTTTACCAGAAGAATGTAGAGAACTTGTAGCTTAACAGGAACCAGCCAAACTGTGTTGATAATTCGAAGCCAACGGAAACTGTGTGTTCAAACGTTTCTGTAGCAGATAACAGACTCTTTTTGAGGGTAGCCTTTGAATTTTATCAGACGACACGTATTTACTGATGCTATTCAACTGTTGTTTAATTAATTACATTCAGTACTCTTGACACAGAGAAAATTGGAAACTGTAACATTCCGAGAGTTCTGTCATCTGATTCCATTACTCAGGCGGTGTTCATTGTTTCAGGTTCAGCAAACAAAGATTTCCCATGCTGACCTCTCCTCTTGGTACTTTAGACTGTATGAACAAGTCACACGCTCTGAACTGTTTACAATGCTTGTTTACGATGACTTGCGCAAACAGTTTTGTAAAAACATGCTGTGGGTTCAGGTTTGTGCATGCTAGTGATGGCCCAATTCTATCAGATTTCATGGGGGCGGTCAGAAGCAGATGTGCAATGTGGTGAACCGTGTCACCCTGAAATTTGGGTTGTTGATCAAGCAGATGATGAGCTGAAGCCAGCATCCGAGCTACCAACAGTTCAAAACACTACCAGCTCAACTGACTGAGTTCCATTAATGGACGCGGTGAGAAAACAAATGGAGGGACAGAGCTATACTAATTTGCAAGGTGATTTGATTTAACGAGAAGCTCAACTGAATCCCCGCTGAAGCACATACACCAACATAATGTGCTCTACAAAGACCATATCACGTTTCGGTTAGTGCACATAGAGAGGATATTTTACCGACGGGTCTTTTTATCCATAAGAATCATGAAAACCTCCAGACAACTCTCCACAGGTTTCGCCAGCTGAGCCCCACGAAGGGCAAGACGGGCCGAAAAGTCTCGAAGAGTTTCCAACAACCCTTTGTATGGTGTGTTACATCACTAAAAAGAAAAGAGGCACCTGAGGTAACGAGGGTCGCTGGATCCCTTTCACACCACAGAATTTTCCGTTTTAACCGTTCCTTCAACCGTCAGAAAACTGCGAAAACCCAAACGTGCTCGAATAACCACCCAGGTAGTCTTTGTGTTCCAGTTCTAAACCAAACTTGATAGTTACAAAATGATGTCATTTCACTAGGATAGTTGAGCTCACACCATCTTCATACATGCATGCCTAGGATTCGTCTTATGGATTATGGGGGGCACTAGATGACCACGTGCCTTCAATGCGGGTCTCAGCTGTTCAGTTTTCCTTGTCACTCGAACTAAAGGAACCACTGACAGCCTTTAGCTTGGATCACCTGGCTTCTCGCTGGTACTCGTTGCACTACATTTTGTTACTGAGTTCTGATTTATTGTAGACTATTTCTGCGTATCTTGTTTGTCTGGCTGTAGATGACCCCACCCTAAAAGTAAATCATCTGGTGTGTTGGACCTACTGTCATTACTCTAGTTGTTCACCGTCCTACAGATGAAACGGAATGGTGGTAAGCCAGATTTCCAGATTTCCATCGCAAAGTTGTACACATATGAAGTGATATGCTGATAGCTTTAGAACCATCCCCTTCTGCCTACCCTTCGGTTTTATTATCTCGGGCTTACACTGCGTACATGGTGTTCTCGTAGCAAAAGGCGCGGCTCAACGCTAATCGCGTGCGGCATTACCGGTTATGCACATAGATTCATCGACTTCATTGGATGTGACATGCAACGAAGACGGATACCACCGCAAAGTATTCTGTTAGAAGACCCTCGTCGCCGTCTTCGCATGTGTCAGAACAATCCTAAGCGCACCGACACTCCAGGGTCACTGTTTCAGGTTTTCGTTTACCTCTTTGTTATTCATGTGTTTGGTGCGTTGCCTTTGAGGTATTATGTCCAGTACCGCATTGTACTGTACTGTAACCTGTGGTATTTGACGCGTAATCCGACATGTGATTTGCTCCAACGTTATGAACCTACCCAAGTGTTTAACCAACAGAGGTGCTAACTTTCTGTGGCTCTCACTGTACAAACCAAACTGACTGTTGACTAAAACTGGCTGGGCATACATGCATGATTCACTTGTGCTTTATTGAGTGGTACGGGCCAGGAGGCCACCAACCGCGTGGACTTTGTGGTGCATTTTAAGTGACGAACCATAGTCCGTCAGTCCGCAATGTTCGCAGCTTCAAGACTGTTAGCCGCACTTGATTTCTGGGGATCACACCAAGAAAATAAGTAAATAAAGAAGTTCGGTTGAATGCATAAGTAGTTCAATATACACTTCACGTGACAGTCCTTGCTCTGAACTACGATTCATCTGTGTGGTCTAGTGTGGCTTCTTTTGCCAAGATAACTAATCTCATACTATCTATGGATGGGTATGTCGTCACAGCATACGATGAATAAATTGTACATCATGCAGCTCATTGAAACACTCTGATTTTCAAGCGCAAACATGCGACTTGTTGTGTGCTAGGCTTAGCTGAGCGACAAGAAGTTTCATTATGTTGGTCTGCGGAGATTCAGTTTTCCAATAGACGAACTGTACCCACGGAATTGCACTTTACCATAAAGTTATACAAGTGAGATACGAAAATATCTGTTCAGTCCCATAGGTAGCCGAAGAGTGGGCCCCCAATCTTTTCAGACATTCCACCAGGGAACGATTTTTGCGGTAAACTCACCAAAGATTACCGAAGATCTCGTCTTGACCAGATGAGGGAGCCGCGGTTTCCGCGAAGCATAAAAGAGGAAAAATGACAGAAAAATCGAGGAAACTTTTCTTCGCAGAAAAAGTGTCGAGTATGCCAACTTTTGCGGTTATTTTTTACTGCTATACATTCAGTGTATCAAAGAACGGAAGGCAAACCACAGCAGTCAGTTGACTCAGTCTATCAACTCTAGCCGCACTGCTCTATGCCTGTAGTCAGCCACTAAGGAATACGTATCCCATATCTCATTATCAATTACCTTTCACGAACCTGAACCCACCGCTCGGTTGCCCTCCAAAGCTTTCTGTTCAGACAATTCAGTTGCCACGGTCGAAACTTTGCTTAACCCCACGCATATCCACAACCACACTCTAACAAACGCCGAATGTCAGTAGTTCAGCGTTGCCCGTCTTTTGGCGACCATGCTCCAGCTCTCTAGTCCCGCGCCGAAGAATAGCGCTGATTCTGTGTGGCTCGAAATATCTAGCTACCGAGACAACGAACCACATACCACGTTCTCGCTTGCTTCCTTCATGCTGTCAACGTCTTAGTTGAAAGCTGAATTGATCCAATCTGCTCACCTTTCTGATCCATCTAGCTAAGTCCTATTTCCTCAGAAGTCTGGCTGGCAGCAAGGGATACAAGTACGAGATGCTCTTTCGCCAAGTGTTGAAGAACAATGGTCGCTTAAATCAGAAGTAGCAGCGGCGGCAAAGACACGACTAGTCAAAACGGCGTTTAAAAGAAAGAATGTCTTTTTGGCTCAACAGTTTTCAACAGTCACGTCGACAATAGTTTAGGTACCGCGTGATTGAACAACGCCGCGTGACGTTCATATGAAAATGTTGCTCGTTCCATCTCTGCTTGCATTCCAGAGGTAGAAGTGAACCATTTCGTATATGATAAGCATGGTAATCTTATGCTTTCAGGCTGAACCGGTTTTACTGAATACAAGTAGAAACTTTCGGCTATATGCAATCTGCACTTCCCTTAGGACGAAGACAGTTTGTATATGATATAAATCATCTAACCACTGGGTTGTTTGATTCTCACGATACCTCGTACATTTTTAGCTTCTTCCGGAATTAAAACCCAAGAAATCGTCAAGACTTAGCATACTTCCATGGTTTGCAGAGCTGTAGCTTTGCAGTTCCTTAATTACAAAGCTTATGAAAGAGCAAAGAAAACGGTATCATAGACGTAACATACTAATCTTGAGGTTGCTGAAGATCACTGCAAACGAGAGATTCAGCCGGATTTAGTCGAGTCTCCCATCAAAACTGAACTAGTTCGCAAACAAGAGTTTTTTATGAGGATGGTGTGTTCTTTTTTCTAGACAGGTTAGCCAGAGAAAACTTATCATCACTGGTACTCCACCCGACCATCTGCCGAAATATATGGTCACAATTCTAGGCAGCTAACAAACTCACGTGACTTTCCACAACAATGATCCGGCCATCTCTGTCAATGGTCACGCACTTCGGAGAAAGGAGGTCATGTGCGAATTCCCGTAGCTTTCGTCCATCCAGTCCATAAACCTGTATGGAAGGAGACGGTTTGCGTAAAACCACTACAAGACCAGTCTCATTTGTCTCGACGACACTACTTTCTGTTGCAGGATAGTCGAAGGAATCCTGGAAGAGAGATGTCGCAGGATATTCGGCTCTCTTGGAGTGCGTATAGGCTTGAGCCAAAGGAGTCGATGTATAGACGTTTGATTTTGGGGAGGTGACCTCTCGGGGGCGAACCGCTATGCAATTGGGATAAGCAGTACTTGACCCGGAAGTAGTGATCTTCCAACAATGAAGGAAGCGGCCGGTTTGTGAGAAGAACTGGCAGTAATGCAATGCAAAATTTATAGAACTTGAGAACACAATTGACAGAGGAATAAAAAAGTCACCAGTTCAATTACCAATGTGCGCATTTTATCAGCTTGTAGATCTTTTTGGTTTGTGATAACACAGGGAATATTCCAACTGCAACTAGATAAACTGCAACTAGATGACCGAAAAAAGAATTACGAAAACAAAACCACAACAAATTATCCGCCTAGTTTTATCCGCAAAGTAGGGCCAAACGTTGCTATCTTTCATCACTTTTCCATGATTTCTCGAGCTTTGTCACATAAATGCGAATCCAGACAATAACCTCTCCTTTTGGGCATCTTGGACCGGTAAAATACTCCGTTATTGATTACCAGGTTCCATCAAATACCGAGGTTCACAGGTTACTAAAACAGACATTCATTCAGTTTCAGCTCCTTGGCTTTATCGGTTTCTCCAAGGATCTGTTGTCTTCAACAGAGTTTCGAAAAAAATTTACTTTAGTGGCTTGAGTTTCTAGATCTCCGAATGAGCAGTATTTTGTCTTCGTTGAAATGACCGGAGTTCAGAAGTTAATTCGTGTGTATCTGTTGATAAAAATTTCGGCAAAGAAGCCTTATTTTCAACTGATAGTACTGTGGACAGTTGGTTGTTTTATTTCCAGAGAGGTTCCAGGAAGACGATTGGGCTTGTACGCTCTGGCTAATCAAATAACAACTCAAACTTTTAAACTGTCTATACAGCGCTCCTGATGAAATAGCCTGACAAACATTTTTTTGCGAAGCCTAAAATGGGTGTACAGGGTAAGAGGTCGAGCTGACGACAGTCTGAATGACCCTGATTCGGATTTCCGATTTTGAAGATATGAAAGCATTCATGCAGTCACCTGGCCAACTTCGGTAATAATAAAATTCGAAGTAGCGAGGGAGAAATGCACTTCTCGACGAAATGTAGCGCGCACATCAAAAGACATCACCTTCTACCCTTGATGTTCATACCAAGAAGTTCGCAAATCCTATCTGGGAAAGGTAAAAATCCTGGTATGTGAAGATAGGAGATACGGAAAGAAATTTCTGAAAGCATGTTGTTCTACGAAGGATTCAATCAACCGACACAGTGAACTAGATCCAATTTATGCATCACTGCGTGCAAAGGAATAATATCTCAACTGAATACTCAAAAAGAGCCCAACATCAGATTAACAAGGAACGCATTGCTGTCATAACAACAAGGGAATCCAGAGAGGTCAGGAACGGGGGACACTTCAGTAATGATCAGAGGATGAGAGCAGGCGAGGTCAAGTTCAAAGTTAACGTAATTGGCACCCAATCTGGACACAGGATAACCAAACATCTAACAGAACCGCCCGACTGAACAACCGATTGTTATCGAAGGTCTACCTCGGCTATTAGCTCGTGCATTGACACACAAACATCGCTGATGAATGCACAATCACTGACCCATCACACTGCTCCAGTATTCTTCCTGCCAACATACTGATGCTATCGACTTGCCTAATGATGAAGCGTTTGCAGTTATGTTGCCCAGTCCAGCGAAGAAACCAGTGACCGTTTTCCTCTGGGTTTGTTGAGGTTGAAAGCTCATATTCAACATATACATCTAATCAACCTGTGTCCTGATAGCTGAAGTTCGTAGCTTTTAGCATTTGGGACATAAAATAATTACCCAACCACTCATACTTGCTCTTCCAACATGCCATCAGTCGTTTAGCTGTAACACTCTTCCCGTGCCTACCTGCCATTCCACCCGAGGGGGGAACGAGGGCTGGGATACTGCCCAAGCCTAGACAGGGGAAGTCGAGAGGTATAGGTCAGGTTCGAAACACGGACCTTCCGGTCAGTAAATTCGAGCTCCAAGCACTTGAGCGAACTCGCCCACAGTCGCCAGAGTAAAAGCTAACAGATCACCATCTGATTCTTATTCATCAAATTGAGCAGGCCTGGTTGTCAACGCAATACGGATTGAGTATCAATCCCTAGTATGCTTGCTCTGTTCCTTTCGTTCTACGAACCAGTGTTTCCCGTAGTAGCTCACCTAGCTCTCTCTTTCAGTACAGAGTTTGTGTTCGCCATACACCCTAATTTTAACATACATTTGTTTTTGACAAAAAATCAACTGAATCCAGCTGAATCTCTAGTTTGTCACGATCTTCAGGTAGGACATGGGTTGACAGATATTCGGTGGTCGCGTCTACCTGCTGAGCCCCATGAAAGACGGAATCGGCGGTGGGGTGTCCAAGAGTTTTCAGCAACCCTACGAGTAGTACGCCATATCTCTTTCGCATGTTTTTATTCAACTCTGTTGACATCTGTTCACTTTTCCATACTAGCCGTCAACAGACGAACTTAGCTATTGGTTGTCCTGTTGTTTCGCTTGCACGCCGTATTGCACCCCATACCAACTTTTTTCACCTGTTCATTCACGCGGTTTTCATCCAATTCGTTCTTGGTCTTCTCTTTACGGTGACAGGTTACAAGCTAGTCTGCTATACTACCACCGGTTGCACGTTTCCGTCTGCCCTATTATATATACTTGGTCTGTTTTACATGGGACTAATTGACTAAGCTATGAGAATGTGACGAGCATTCCACAGTTATCAACAACTTCACTCAATAGGTATTTTCTCGTTACGTAATGGGCTGTTGCTTCCTGGGGCCACCTAGCTCAGTCTGCTTCGCTGAAATGGTCCACCCTGGAAGGGCGCCGCATGTTTGTGGATATACTTTACGTTTACTACACTGTTTTGCTCTGATGTGAAGAGTATTACACCTGTAGTACAGCTGCACCAAAATCAGCCTGTCTACTCATTCTAAGTCTAAAGTGTATCGATTTATTCCGAAACAGCTAACAGTAGTGTCAGTCCTGTTTGACTCGTGTTTCGTGCATTTGGTCTTCTTTTTTACTGATGTCCATTTAAACCTGACTTTGAATCTCTGCTTTACGATCACTGCCCTAACAAGAAATCTAGTCAGTCATAGAATATGTTATTGCTGTGGTTACCCTAAACACATTATTCGTCTGTGATCGCAGTTGGCATCTATCAAGTGGCTTCAGAGTATGGTTGTAGAACAAAAGGTATCTGTAAGATAGCCTTCACGCCACACAATAAGTCAGGCAGTATACGATCAGAACTTTGATCAGCAGAGACAGGAAGAAGGAAATTTCTACTCAAAATGCTACAGCATTCCGACCACCATTCACCGGCAGATGTCTGTTTCCTATCCGACCGGCGGTCACCAAACTATTGTAATCACAGGTGGATAAGTGGGGAGAATGAGAAAATACTCCTGAGTCCTACTGAAGTAAGCGACTCAGTCATTTTCTCATAGTTCAGTCTACAGAGCTTACCTTGATCATCTCAGCGTTACCATCAGCAACAGCGATGACACCTTCGGGAAGAATGGCAAGACCATTGGGCTCGCGAAAGTCGTGAACGGAGGCCCCAAACCCGCCAAAGTGTTCAGCGTAAATTGTTGATATCCGTGGAATTCCCTTAAAAAAACAGGTTCAGAATTTTATTTGTGGAAACCAAATCAACGAAGTAAAGTCTTGTGAAATCTTCAATGAAATTTATGAGCACGAGGATATTCTTTGAACCTTGGTATGCAGATTTTGTTAGATACCGCCTCACCTGGTCAAATAAGTAAGAGAGGTTTATTTATTGTAATCCCATTTATTTCAGGATTGGTAGTGTGCCATCGTCAGCTTGATCTTGTCCATTTGCGGAACTTAAACTAGTTGACCGTTGACGATTGCTTACTTTACTTTTGAGTTGTGTTATGTGACGGGTTAAACAACCAAACACCTAAAAACAAAACCACGGTACTACACTGCAAAGGATTGTTTAGAAAGCGCCACCAACCAGTTCTTTGAAAGTATATATAAAACCCTGTGCAGCACATTCAGTTGGATGATATCATAACCTTAGCTATTGGTTGTCCTGTTGTTTCGCTTGCACGCCGTATTGCACCCCATACCAACTTTTTTCACCTGTTCATTCACGCGGTTTTCATCCAATTCGTTCTTGGTCTTCTCTTTACGGTGACAGGTTACAAGCTAGTCTGCTATACTACCACCGGTTGCACGTTTCCGTCTGCCCTATTATATATACTTGGTCTGTTTTACATGGGACTAATTGACTAAGCTATGAGAATGTGACGAGCATTCCACAGTTATCAACAACTTCACTCAATAGGTATTTTCTCGTTACGTAATGGGCTGTTGCTTCCTGGGGCCACCTAGCTCAGTCTGCTTCGCTGAAATGGTCCACCCTGGAAGGGCGCCGCATGTTTGTGGATATACTTTACGTTTACTACACTGTTTTGCTCTGATGTGAAGAGTATTACACCTGTAGTACAGCTGCACCAAAATCAGCCTGTCTACTCATTCTAAGTCTAAAGTGTATCGATTTATTCCGAAACAGCTAACAGTAGTGTCAGTCCTGTTTGACTCGTGTTTCGTGCATTTGGTCTTCTTTTTTACTGATGTCCATTTAAACCTGACTTTGAATCTCTGCTTTACGATCACTGCCCTAACAAGAAATCTAGTCAGTCATAGAATATGTTATTGCTGTGGTTACCCTAAACACATTATTCGTCTGTGATCGCAGTTGGCATCTATCAAGTGGCTTCAGAGTATGGTTGTAGAACAAAAGGTATCTGTAAGATAGCCTTCACGCCACACAATAAGTCAGGCAGTATACGATCAGAACTTTGATCAGCAGAGACAGGAAGAAGGAAATTTCTACTCAAAATGCTACAGCATTCCGACCACCATTCACCGGCAGATGTCTGTTTCCTATCCGACCGGCGGTCACCAAACTATTGTAATCACAGGTGGATAAGTGGGGAGAATGAGAAAATACTCCTGAGTCCTACTGAAGTAAGCGACTCAGTCATTTTCTCATAGTTCAGTCTACAGAGCTTACCTTGATCATCTCAGCGTTACCATCAGCAACAGCGATGACACCTTCGGGAAGAATGGCAAGACCATTGGGCTCGCGAAAGTCGTGAACGGAGGCCCCAAACCCGCCAAAGTGTTCAGCGTAAATTGTTGATATCCGTGGAATTCCCTTAAAAAAACAGGTTCAGAATTTTATTTGTGGAAACCAAATCAACGAAGTAAAGTCTTGTGAAATCTTCAATGAAATTTATGAGCACGAGGATATTCTTTGAACCTTGGTATGCAGATTTTGTTAGATACCGCCTCACCTGGTCAAATAAGTAAGAGAGGTTTATTTATTGTAATCCCATTTATTTCAGGATTGGTAGTGTGCCATCGTCAGCTTGATCTTGTCCATTTGCGGAACTTAAACTAGTTGACCGTTGACGATTGCTTACTTTACTTTTGAGTTGTGTTATGTGACGGGTTAAACAACCAAACACCTAAAAACAAAACCACGGTACTACAAAGGAAAGGATTGTTTAGAAAGCGCCACCAACCAGTTCTTTGAAAGTATATATAAAACCCTGTGCAGCACATTCAGTTGGATGATAACCCAGCGATCGATTCAATTGAGTCTCTCGTGAAAACCAAACTGATGTGCGAATGAGTGTATTTGTCGGAATATTTTGATTTGGGTTCAAGTAGAACAAAGTTGGCGGGAACCCGGGCATTGCGCCTACCTGATGAGGCCCAACAATGATGAAGCCGACCGGAAGAAAAAACTTTGAGACGTTTCATCCTTGCTTCGCTCAAGTGTGAGTGTATCAGTGGCTCAGTAAGTAAGTGAGAACTTTTGAAACATTTAATAATTTAATTGACCTCTCGACCAATTAATCTCGGCGAAGGCAACATATCCTGTTAGACTTTTTTCGTCGTTTCAGATGCATACTTTTGAGCCGTATGAATGTTGTTTTCATGGTGCCTAGCTAACTGTTCATGTTTTCTCGCAGATGTAAAATCTATAATCGAAACACCGTTGAATGGGCTCATTTGTGCGGTTCTCATGAGCAGGTCTAATTAGCCATGCAGTTCATTAGCGTGGTCGCTTACCTAATTATAGACGAGAATATGAAGGAAGAATCCAAGAGCTTCAATAATGAGTTTTCCGTATGAAGCGCATGAATAATGATATAGGCAGTAAGTCGGTAATGCCTTCGCTGCCCACAGATGTAATTACTTGGCAGGATGATATGGCTTTTAGCCGTTATTCTCTAGCAACAGACTCTGCGTTTACACTCAAATCTTGGTGTATATATATGAGCATCCAGAAACCTAAATGACACTGTAATCCTCATCTCAGAAAACAACAAACGGAGTAACAAAATGTATTCTTCGAGAGGGTGCTTCTTCGAAATTAAAATGATTACTAGGAGCAATGTCGCAGTCACTAATCTGTGCGGTTAAGGTGGTCGTAGAACTTGCGCATAAAGGATGGGATTATACCTTTTTGTATGACGAAGATACTACCCAGCGAAATACACTCATTTGCAAACTAGTTTGGCTTTGCGAGAGACTCATCTGAAACCCAGCGGAGTATCGACTTCCAGTTGACCTCCCAAATATGATTCTAAGGGGCTCATACGACTGACTTAGGGATTCATATTGCTCTCAAGAATCACAATGTTAATCCTCGATAGCCTTTGATAGAAGTACCCTCTTCAGCATCGTCAAGAGGCATTGAGCTTAGTTGAGCTGGATAACCGGACGGCGTTCACTGACGCTGTTCACCGGACGACAGTGCACTGGGCTCCAAACCAACAAAGTGCCTTCAGCTCTGGGGCTGGGTGCGACTCTCATGCCATATAGTCGCTTGTGGATCACTGGACACACGGAGGGAGAAATTTGAAAGAGCTGAATTAGACCTTGGCTTTTGAGATGCACAACCGCGCTTGTGTCTTGTATGCGTGTTTTGGAGACACACCATACATCCGTTTTAAGGGAGTATGACTTTTCAGCCATCATTACCTGTCCGCCAACTTGACATAGAGTGCAGACGTTAAGAGCTCTTGTATGGGAAGCATCTCGTGGGCTGAGAAATATATTATTTTGTTCTTCGTTGATACGCAGTGGGGAGTATTGAGCCCTTTGGGCTGATAACAGACAGTCAGTTGACCCAACGACGTTTGCTTTGCATACTTTTGAGCCGTATGAATGTTGTTTTCATGGTGCCTAGCTAACTGTTCATGTTTTCTCGCAGATGTAAAATCTATAATCGAAACACCGTTGAATGGGCTCATTTGTGCGGTTCTCATGAGCAGGTCTAATTAGCCATGCAGTTCATTAGCGTGGTCGCTTACCTAATTATAGACGAGAATATGAAGGAAGAATCCAAGAGCTTCAATAATGAGTTTTCCGTATGAAGCGCATGAATAATGATATAGGCAGTAAGTCGGTAATGCCTTCGCTGCCCACAGATGTAATTACTTGGCAGGATGATATGGCTTTTAGCCGTTATTCTCTAGCAACAGACTCTGCGTTTACACTCAAATCTTGGTGTATATATATGAGCATCCAGAAACCTAAATGACACTGTAATCCTCATCTCAGAAAACAACAAACGGAGTAACAAAATGTATTCTTCGAGAGGGTGCTTCTTCGAAATTAAAATGATTACTAGGAGCAATGTCGCAGTCACTAATCTGTGCGGTTAAGGTGGTCGTAGAACTTGCGCATAAAGGATGGGATTATACCTTTTTGTATGACGAAGATACTACCCAGCGAAATACACTCATTTGCAAACTAGTTTGGCTTTGCGAGAGACTCATCTGAAACCCAGCGGAGTATCGACTTCCAGTTGACCTCCCAAATATGATTCTAAGGGGCTCATACGACTGACTTAGGGATTCATATTGCTCTCAAGAATCACAATGTTAATCCTCGATAGCCTTTGATAGAAGTACCCTCTTCAGCATCGTCAAGAGGCATTGAGCTTAGTTGAGCTGGATAACCGGACGGCGTTCACTGACGCTGTTCACCGGACGACAGTGCACTGGGCTCCAAACCAACAAAGTGCCTTCAGCTCTGGGGCTGGGTGCGACTCTCATGCCATATAGTCGCTTGTGGATCACTGGACACACGGAGGGAGAAATTTGAAAGAGCTGAATTAGACCTTGGCTTTTGAGATGCACAACCGCGCTTGTGTCTTGTATGCGTGTTTTGGAGACACACCATACATCCGTTTTAAGGGAGTATGACTTTTCAGCCATCATTACCTGTCCGCCAACTTGACATAGAGTGCAGACGTTAAGAGCTCTTGTATGGGAAGCATCTCGTGGGCTGAGAAATATATTATTTTGTTCTTCGTTGATACGCAGTGGGGAGTATTGAGCCCTTTGGGCTGATAACAGACAGTCAGTTGACCCAACGACGTTTGCTTTTGTGGTGGGAAGGGATTGGGGAGGGACATCGGCCGAGCCGCTGAAGCGCCATTCAGTACCGTACATAAACTAGCAACTTCGGAACGAGGTATCCTCCTAAGGAATACAACCATTAGCGCTTTTGATACGTTATATGAATGGTAATATGCCCTCCACTGTAACACGTTATTATAAGATTTTTTCTTTTCACCTGAGTTTCAAAACTTCTACCTCAGATCTTTAACTTTGGAATATGAATGGACTGATGGGCTTGAAATCTTACTGGTCTTTCTTGGGCTACACTGTGCGTATTGGACGCAGTCTCGCTAAAAAAACAGAAAACTGCCCTTCTCAAAGAATCCCATTCACTCGACCCTTGAACAACTTTTCATTCGAAATTTCCCAGATTTCCCCAAGCTAACCAGTGCGATATTCGGCTCTCACGGGTGAATTTTCTCACTTATGTTGATCCGCAATAGTCCAAATTCCCTGCATTTTTGAAAAGCTGCCAAATTACTGTCCACAACTGGTCTTAGAACTTTATAATGTGTTTTTCTATTCAGTATTATAGACTAGATCGTGAACGAGAGCTTCAGCTGAGTTTCATCTGATTCTCCAGATAGGAACAAATAAATTTGCAAATAAGTACTTATGTATTCATAACCCTACAACGTATTCAAACATCTCTAGACAGTTTCACATTTTTTGGGATAACCCGAAATGGTCCACTAGATATCAGGCTACAATTGAATAGTGGTCATACAATACCAAAGAATACTATTTGATCACTTGCAGTTTAGGTTGTTGTCAACCGAAGATTCTTAAGCATCCCAGGTGAATTCTTCTTTTACGATGTTCTTTTCCAAGTGGATGTGCTGAACAAAAGCCTCCTTAAATCTATGTTGAGACAATATTCGAGATATTCGGATATATTTTATATCCATGTTTTATCTAAAATTACCGACAACGCAGGACCGATTTCGTCGTGCACTGGGCTCGTCAGGTAGGCGAAATCTCCTTTTTCCTTCAGCCTTGTGAGTCACTCAAAATGTCTCACGCAAGCGTTTGAGAATATCTCAACATGTCATTTCAACGCTGTTGGTTGACTTTAGTTCAAACCCAATGCATCTCACACTAAATGCAGTCAGCTGAGTAATTAACAACCATGGCATAAACTGCAGCCTAACTTCACCACGTGGTCTTTCCGAGAAAAGGTTTGCAACAGTTTTTGTCGTACATTCAAAACACCCAAAGCCACAAGGTGATGGATTGATGATGTGAAATGTGTAACGCTGTATTTCGATGTGCTTGAGAGCATTTTCACTTGCAGGGATGTTCGAATAATGACAGAAAGATATGAAGTATTCACAACCTGCAGTCATATAGATACCCTTGAGACATCGCAAAAAATTCTACAAAATTCTATCTAATTGGATGCCGCTACGTAAAATGGGGCTACTACATTGGGGTTTCAGTAAACTGTGCTTTCTGAAGCAGGTGTTTCTTTCGAAGAGCCATACAGTTCAGTAATGAAAAGCGTTGTGTTTGTGTATCAATACTTGATCTTCCTGGAGATGTCCTCCAAGGTTATCTACAAAACAAACTAATTGCTGACGAAGTTCTAACTTTAAGTGATTTTCTTTTCTTCTAACTCATTAAAAAGGCTCGCTTCTTAATGCAAATAAACCTACTTTGAAGATTTTGGCGTATTTCGCTTCTGTCTGATCTCGGTCAAGTTTCAGCTTGGCACAATTAATCGGGATGTTTTCCGGTCTGCAGTTCCAAACAGAGGGATGTGCATTTTTGACACATGGCAGCTTTTTACCTGCTGAGGGGCTTTTTGAACCAAGTTGCTCAACGTCCAACCAAGAGCCGATGGTATCGCTAATTTTCCGGTATAATTGTCGCAACTCCATCGGGATATCCACCTGATCCATCTTTTGAGATAGAACCTGCCAGTGGTGTTGCAGCGATGCTGTTTGGACGGCTATTCTTGTGATAGGCAGTGGAGGAACCTGTTCCATTAGGGGAGGGAATTCGGTTTGTTCACACTCTGTTTGAATGCTTTGACGCTGATGAAACGCAGCCAAGTTTGCCAGCAACACCGAAACAATTTCCCAGTATGTTGCAGCTTCGAAATCAGTTTGGGGATGTTTTCCATCGGGCACGAAATCAACAGCAACGGTTTCATTATCTAGCGGTTGAAATTCCTGTGAATCTAGCCTAAACACAGCTCCATATCCCTCAGCGTCTGTAGCATAAATAAAATCCCCATAGCTACTTGATGCCACCGTTTGTGGTGAGCGGGCCACCTGAGCTGTTGGAATCTTGAAAGCATATAGTGGATACGATCTGTCTCGACGCTGGCACATTCGGAGTGGTATACGAAACATTATGATGAGAATCCCTCCATCTGGAGAGCGTTCAGCTACAATGGAGCGTAAGAGTTAACTGGAACAAACATTCGAGGAGATCTTCAACTTAATGCGTAACTGTGTATAAAAACATCTCAAGACACCATACTCTATGAGTGTATCAAATTAATTTGCAAAAGAGCGCTTATCTCAAGCTTATTACAATTTGCTGTTTGCGTTTAAAATGTGCTTGGTAGAACTACGGAGAACAAGCCCAGTTGGTGACCCAAGGGAGAGCGAAATTGGTTGCAGCCTTACAAGGTTTTCGTCCACCTCATGAATAGTGTTGGATCGCGACAAATAGTTTCAAAAGCGTTAAGTTTCTAAAAATACATTTCAGACCAGCAGCGGGTTCCTCAGAGATCGGGCTTGTTTTTGACCTATCTTTCACCCGAATGGTGGGAAAACGATAGAACAAAAAACCGATTTTCAAACGTTCCCAAAACCGTGGTGGGTTGCTGATGTTTCCAATGGAGTTTACAATTTTAGCACTGGTCAGCAACCGAATTCCGGGCAGCTGACCTTACCCATTCGATGAATTTAGCGTGACTAACTGCGCCGGTATTCGGATAGTGATTCCCATTGCTAGATGATGATCACATTCAGAGTAGAACTCCATTCCAGCAACGTGTGCGGGCCCCTTAACAACCCAGATTGATCGAGAAATACGTTAGCACTTTACACTACTGAGGAAGAACCAAGTAGGCAAAGGGAAATGGCAATCTGTCACACGAAAAGAAAGACCTGGATGCCCACACAAACAGACCCCAAATGATGGGTGACCCGATGCGTTACGATGTATCGAGCATGTTAAACGGGCCTTTATAACTTCCTCGGTAGTAACCGTGTGGTCTCTCCGCCCCTAAAGATTAGGTGAGGGTGTACGATCGAGCGTAAATTCGGTTAGGTGTTGCACCTTTAGAGAAGCGTGGGCGGCCATATAAAGTTGAATTTCAGATTTACGGTACTGGCCAACCACTACATTGTCTTACGAACAGAACAGATGTGTCGTTGACAGTACAAATGGTGGGGGACATTCTTCTTGGGCGTGTAGTTTCTAGTACTTCTTGTGTTTACCCTTGTAACTCAATCGCGTTTCAGTGTGTCTTATATTCTCTAATCTACTCAGCCTGTTACGCAGTGCTCAGTAAGTCCAAACCGAGTCAGAAGCTACTTTTTCGTGCTAAAGCAACGTAGAAAAAGCTAAGGAATATAGCGGAGAGCCACAAGACAAAAGTCTCACATTAAAATTCAGGAGAAAATTTTCTCTACTTACCAAGAATCAGATCATCGGTTGTGTCGCGTTCAACACATCGGAATGAAATCAGTTCGTCAGCTCCGAGTGGATTTGGAATCTCGTAGTAGCTAGCAATAACCTTAGAACTTGAGAGTTGGTGGGGAGTATCCAAATGGACCCGAATAATGTGTGTGGGTTCATCCGGTTGACACCAGTACACATTTGTTTGGTCTGGTCGTGGCATCAAATCGACTCGAGTGTCGTATCGGCTGAAGTTTTCACACAATGGTGCCCACCATAATACAGTTGGAATGGAGTGCAAATCCACCATTTCTGTGGAGGATTCATCGATTTGGAGGCAAAGCACTGCGTATTCAGAGTCCGGACAGTTGTCTTTGGCCGACCGAAATTCGGGTTCATTGAAATCTCCATAAGACATCTAGCGGATAATGGAGATCTACATTATAAATACCACTAACAAAGCTAGAGGTGGGTTATACGTCAGAGAAAAGAGATGAGCCAAAATGACGGCAATGATCACGAAACAATAGTGGCTGTTAGGTTCATAGTCCAAACGTGGTGCGTAATAAAGCCGAAATCGACAGGATAGGTAAATTTTAGTGGAAGTTACAGGACATTGTTGGTGACTCTTTTTGGTAACCTGCTTGCACGTATGTTGAAGTTCATTTTCGAAGAATTATTACCCGTACGGGCTAAATTTTACTCACCAGAAGAATATGACACATAGTGACTTTTTTCGCGGAAATTATGGGTTAGCAAAACTAAGGAGTGAGTTTTAACTGTGTCACCTTGGTACTGATGATTGGATCAGCTCGACTCCACTGTCTCATCGTCAGCCAAAATAACCTCTGTGATACACAAATCAGATGAAATTTGGGTACTTTGTTTGACTGGTTGGAAATGCATTTCATCCCGTCCAAGCGCAAACATCTTAGCTGCTAACAACTGACAGTCGTTTGGTCGGTGATTAGCTGTCGAAGGAAGCAAGGTTTAGATAGTGCCAGGTTGCAGTCTAGTCAAGAGCAGTCGAGATACCGGGGTTATATTCAAGCCGGAAACCTTCCGGTCAGTATGTTTGAACCCTACCCACTGAGCTAACTCGATCTCTTGTCTTCTTAAAGATGGTGGGAATGTTACAGACCAAACCAAAAAGACTACAGACAATTCTGTATTTCATTTTTCTGCTTTGGACTCCGAAATGCCAACAAAATACATTTTGAAATTCAAGAAATTCTTACAGCTTTTTATGGGGTTGCTAGAAATACTCTAGTGTGTATATCAATGAAGTTTTGTTGTAACTATTACTTCAAATTGCTGGTGACTGTAAAGTAGGGTGGCTAAGTCCCAATTACATACAATGTATAAGTTTTCTGCGATATACGATATATGCAGGTAAAACTGGTGTTAACGGTATTCTTCGACAGAATGTGCTACTCAGAGTGCACCTTTTATTTCATTTGGAAGGATATTCAAGATATTGCCTGATGATACAAATTATTCACAATTTTTCGGACAAATTTTCTCCAGCCCACGACCGAAATCGTTCTTCTTGTTACTTTTCAGACAGGTGCAGCCCCGCGTTTCCATAAACCCTACGTCTTTCTTTAACACAAACTCACCTGACTAACCCCAAGAAAGGAGTAAATGGTCACGGGTTGTGGAAGCGTTTTCGGCAGACGAAGGAGTAGAGTGCTTAGTCAGTAAAATATAGAACCCCTAATTCTCACGGACTCATTCTCAACGTATGGGTTTGTCCTGTCTTGTCCGTCGACTGATGAATGACCATTCCCATGTAGCATAATGGCACACCTTCCTTTCTCCACTTTCTTGATAACAGAAGTTCTGGTATGCATTGAGGTCACAGAGGTCCAAGTGCGGAGGAATGACACACTGTCTTTGAGGTCAAATTTACACAATTGAAATTTAAGAGGATTTTCACCGCTTATCCCTTTTGTTAAAAATCCTATCAAGATCTACAAGAGAGCCACAAATGAGTACTAGTTTTGATTTCAAAAGTTGGTAAGTGGTAAGTAAGTAATGCTAACTTCTATTTTGTGTTAGAATGGATCTCAGTGAGAATGTCGTTGTGGAAAATGTAGACTTGATAAATGGATATCTGGTTTCGATCAACCGCGAAGAGATAACATGAATTGTGTTCACTTACCACAGGTCTCCAAGGAGCCAGAAGATAAATCCTCGATTCTCTATCCACTGTAAAGGCAAGCACTGGTGTCTTTGGGCCCGGATATAATAAACTAGCAAATCTGACGGTTTGAAGTGAGCAATAGTAGGTGGGAAACGCCACTGACTCTGAATCATTCCAGCCCAAAAGTTGTGCAAATGTGAACACTCCAACAAACAGTGGGTCGCGGTGAGATTCGAACATAAATGACAAACTCGGACAGGTCGAGAAAGACATTTGGAACAGGGACAAAGCATAGCCAGGACAAATGGGATGTGGAACCACCACGGATATCCGCCTTGGTATCCGAAAACTTCCTATGACCTCAGCCATATCAGGTGTGCCACGAATAGGCTTTGAACTGCGAGGATTGTGTAAGCACATTATAGGTAAGTTGACATTCTCCGCGTTCGGTCGGAGCTGAAATGGTCATATCACAAATAGTTTGTATTCGATGTACAGTGTCGATATAGACAAGTTACCCTAGCCTACCACAATCACTCATAAGTGCCTCCACATCAAGACACTCAGTCAACCACTTTAGATGAAAAGTGACAAAAATAACGATTAGCAGTCGTGGCTTGCAGCGTCTCCAACCGGTGGCAGTGGTGATCATGAGGTCCTTATTTTGGAAAGCGAGTCGCGCCGACAGTATCCAGACATTTTGTGACCGGACTTGTGTACCTAAGCCAAGTACAGGGTTGCTTGCGGCATTCTGATTCTAGCACTCTCAATAGTACCCTCTTCGATAAATGATGATTCGGCATGCCTAATACATGACCAAACGGCCACGGTTTTTGGTACTGGACACATTTTTGACTGTAATCCCTGCTACACAACCAAACGTTTGCCTTTTACCTGTATCTTGGTGATTTCCTCCGCGCCGGCTTACACAATTTGTTCTGAGGCAACAGTCGTCGAAAAAATTGAAGAAGTTTCATTTACACTGCTTGCGGAAGCCATAACTAACAGTTCTACAACCGAACAGCTTGATACACATGTCCCTTGATATTTAGATGTATGGCGCTTTGTTATCATGTGTCCCAAATTAGCGAACGCGACCGGCGGCTTCGGAGATGCATGCATTAAGGTTTGCTGAGATTACCGCACTAAGCCTAATAGCCAGTTCCACTCGTGTTGTGAATAAGGCAGTCACCGCGCGCTCCTCAGCTGGCAGCGCGCGAAAGTCTGTAGAAGGCTACAAGGAGCTGAGATTCAGTGGAAAGGAATTGTTTACTTCCTTGTTCAGCTAAATGTGCTCTTTCTGTGGGCTAATATTTTGGTGGTAAACAGAATGACACAATGAGAAATATCGTTAGTGAAAAAGGCTTTCCGGCGATTAAGTTTGGCCAGATTATGCCGTCTTCACCTAAGGAATGTTTCCACCGGGCACAGAAACAAAACAAAAACAGATTTTGTCAGAAGAACAAAAGGGTTATTTTTTGCCAATCTTAAACTATTGTACGACGCGTCAAAGCTGCTGGGTAAACAGCATGGATCACAAAAAGTGGTCTGATGTGTGGCACATGGATGGTAGAGGGTAAGCCTACGAATCAAAGTGTCCAAAATGGAGTAGTCAAATGACTCACAAGGATGTGTTGGGAATCACGATTCCGCGTACCTGGGTACGTTGCGAGACGGCTTCTGAAGATCCCAACATATGAGCTGGGGTTTTGATAAAACAAATGTTGCACATCTGTGTTCCAGCTTCATTGAACACTTACAGTCCCACCAGCGTAACAAAAAATTCAGGCCTGCTTACAAAACGAAGACTGTCCCCAACAAAGCTGTCAATAGCGACAGATAACAATATAACGCAACTCGGGAATAGTTCACTCTTGACGGGGGGCTCAAACGCTCAGAATGAAACTATTTATCAAACCAATCAAGAAAAGAAATGACGCAACGCAAATTGCGAACGGACCAACAAGATTACAAGAAAGGTATACACGAATGGGCAAATCACATGAATGGATATCAGCAATTCATTGGAATTTGTAGAGCCGCAAGCAGGTGAGGTTAAAGTGCCCACTAAAATGCACATTAATAAGTTCTGCTCGATATTCTCCTTCATATTATTCGGACTCCATGAGAGCGAATTCCCCTTGAGTAAGAAAAATAAACAGTCTCACGAGTTCATCTAATCAAAAAGCCAAGACAAATTACATGCTTACCACCATCAATGAAACCTCGGTAAAACGAGACGACTTGGTAAGATTTTTGCGTTAAAAAAATAATTACTCCGATTTTTTGGACACAGTGAAGGGGTATACCACTTTAGAGAAATACACTCATCCGCATACCACTTTTGGTTTTGATGGGAGAATCACCTGGAACCCAGCTGAATCTCTCGTTTATGATATCCTCAAGAAACCGAGTGTACCTAACTGTCAGAGTCCCTACAGGACTTTTCCTCACTTTTTCTTTTGCTTTCCCAGAACATTCCCCTACAGGAAAGGTCTTTTCTGGAGAAATCCAATGACAGCAATCGATGAAAGTAATGATTATCTGAAACCCAATCAGTTAATTCATCTAGGTACAAATAACTGCAGTGCAAGGACGTCAATTACATACGGGCCTTCAGTTATTACTGACTAGATGGCATGTGTTCCATAACGTCCGTGGATGACGCAAACGTCATAAACTGAGGGATATCCGGGACAAAAGAATTTGCTGGCTTTAAGAGGGCGTGTAGGGGCTGTGACAACCGAGAGATTCAGCTGGGTTCCAGGTGAGTCTCCCGCCAAAACCACTTGGTGTACAAATGAGTGTATTTCGCTAATTTGGTGCAATTTGGTTTCAAGTAGAGCATAAGGTTGGCGGAAACTTGGGTACTGTGCCTGCCTCATGAGCCCCAAGAAGGACAGAACCGGTTGTCGGCTGTCGAAGAGTTTTCAGCGAACTTACCAGCAGTGTATTGCGTATATTCAGAGTATACCACTTGTTATACAGGATATGTACCCTTGTTTATGTTACACGGAAGTCATAAATAATAAGATTCCCGGCTGTTGACGCTATTGCTGATGCAAGCTTACGATACAGGTCCCATTCCTACTCTAGTGGCTGTTAAGGCACATGGTAGGATGTAGCTAATCGTTTGTTAATCCAAAAGTTATCCGTTTAGAGTCGTCAAAGAGAGTATGGTGGGGTTTTGGGTCCCCTTAGGTTCTTCTACTTTTTTGACTTGCTTCAGTTCCGCTCTGTGCCACACTTGAGGTAACGCGCCTGAATTAGGAGTAAAAATGTGAAAACTTTTACTTTCGGAGTCTTTGGCTTGGTCGAATGGAAAGAGGGTCGGTTAGCTTTGGTGCTTCATTGATTTTCTACTGACTAGATTGCTGCGCAACATTTTTCATTTTATCTATGGAGTATTCCTGCTCAGGTATGTCGTAAAATTTGACTGTATTCTGTATGGTAGAATCGATTTATTCTATCGTACCACAGCTAATGATAAATTCCAGGCAAGATGAGCATGGACTGCTCAAATCTTAGCATACTTGCATCCATGGTTGGGCTACTTGGCCTCACTAGAAGCAGAAAACCCAACAGTACCAGCAATCGTAATTAGCGTNTCGATGAGTAAAACCTCCATCTGAGAAATCGTTACTCGAGAATCCAGTTAATGTGTAACCATGTTAGGTAAATTCCGTGATTAAAAGCTGGCCGAAAGATTGTTCAAACTTCAGGAATCCGAGACTTCCCTGGAGTTTCGTAAGAGGCTCAACACTGATGATTCCCAATACAGTTGAAATTGCTATACAGAATTTTCAGCTTAGATTGGCTTCACTTATGGGATGAGATCTACATTACTATGGAGATTAGTTCAAAGTCTACGGCAACATCCAAATTTCACTGACACGAAGGGTGACTTATCAAGAGTTGTCCGCGGCTACGCTCTTTAATCAAGCTTTCACTTTATTTCTCAGTTTGGAAACTTAAGCAGATTGTAAAGTTTAAGTTGGATTGTTGGGTTTTTCTCTACTGTTTTACTTTGCTATGATGCCTGGATTAGATGTTGGCACATTTTCGAGCACATCAGGTGTTTGTCGTTAGTGTACCAAAATATGTACCAAAATATCGTAACCTTAAACCTTAAGCTACTGTGCCCCAGGTCGAAACAGTCATTAGTGGTCGGATTAAAGATAGATACAGCTGGAAGAACATTTGGGTGACTCACCAACACAAGTCTTTCACTGAACCAGACAGCGAAATCTCCATTTGGCCAACGCGTGAGACTAATACAACTGTCTTGTCGATCGAGGTTCACATATGTTTTGCAGACAAATTCCACATGACCTAGGGGATCCAACATTCCAATGAGTTCGTCCATCACAACCCGGTGTGCTGTCACAGGTTCACAATGAAAATTTTGACTGTAATACAGTGAGAGTAATCCGTAAAATAGCTGAAAAGAGGCAGCTTCTCTAGACAGTCGTTTAGCATCCCCGTGAAATCCTCGGTCAACTACATCGGCTTGTCTAATTTCATGTGACCAAAGAGAAACATATCCAGAATCAGAATATTCACAATCAGGTCGCTTCATATGAAAGTATTTTGTTTGTTCGATGCGCGTATAATAATGAAACCGTTTGTACAGCGTATTCCTCACACATTCAAGACACTGGTGATGGAAACGGGGACTCTTTTTGTAGGCACTCAGGTCTTTCTTGAACCCGTATTCTTCGAAATCAGCATGTGAAGTATATTTGTTTGGGGAATTGGGCACTGAAAAGTAGTCCACAAAGTCCGGCAGTGTAAATATATCTTCAGCTGAGTAACATCTCCTTTGTCCGGCATTGTCCATTTCGGCGGGCGATGGCTCGCAATCGTGAACCCAATCGACATTGATTTTTGTGAATGGCGCTCACGCAGTTGGTCTTTGTCGAGTGCTTCGCCCCATAACTCAGGCGTGCTTGCGTCATGTGAATGAGTTGGCTTACTCCATGGATTTTGGTTAGCAAATTGACCGCGGATTTAGTCACGTGAGTTCGCAACACGGCACTGTACCAGTAAATTTTACAAACTTTTCTACCACTATCTTGCCGCTACAGTGCACGCAGTGCTATCAACATTTCGGTTTTACTCATTCCCGTTTCCTCTCAACTTGGAGTCCTAAAACATGGAAAGAGAGTATGCAAGCCTAAACGTATTTTAATGCCCACACATTCGTGGGGATGAACAAGCCCCTGGAAGACTTGTGATGCCAGGGGTTCACAGCGTTATTACGGTCAATAGATGTTAGTTACGGAATCTCCCTTTCCGTTGACAGCTCCTTGCTAATGTTCTTATTAAATTCTTCATCTTCCTTTATATCGTGGAATCCCCTTTCACAAATTTTCCTGAGGAACTGTGAGCCAACCGATTCAGTGACTGGTTGCCATACACAATAAAGAGAATTTCACCGACTTGAAATTAAAAATGCTATTGTCTAGAAGATAGATTTTTGGATAGTTATTCAAATCAGTTCTGAACTTCAAAGTCCGATCTCTGCTCGTACCAGTGTTCTGAAGGGCAGCCGATTTGAATTCCAACTCAGTAACGCAGATGCACGCATCTCGTTCCAGATCATATCTCTTAGGCTTCTTCCAAAGGTATCGGCCTCAAATAAAACATTTGATTTCAGTGATACAAAAAATCGCACAGTAATAATCAATCCAAACATACTAGGGACATACGCTGTTATGGTAGAATACCGAATATCCGAAATTACAAGCTTCTTGGACTGACCGGTCGGAAATTCCTCTCAGTGAGGCAGTGAATAAAATTGAGTACTCAAGGCCTCTTAGACACAGAAAGCCCAGTGGAGACTAACTGCGTGCATTTATTTCGAATAGTGTGGATGGATGGTTATCAGAATCGCGGTCATTTCCCGTACCCATGTGACCACTAAATTTGATGTATTTGAGCATGATATATCGCACGGTTCAAAGGTGGAAGACCTACAGAGAAAAACCCCGTCCGCGTGTCACGTTGCCAAGTTTTCGGCGGGAGTTGTATCATTCGTGTGAAAATACTAGGATAGGAAGCTTTCCTGTGGGTATCAGTTGAGTGGGAAATCATGGGAAGAACAAATTGTAGACCAAACGGAGTGACAGATAGCCAAGTACTGATTTGACTGGTGTTCAGCACATCAAACCAGGAAGATACGACAAGTAATCAAGGTGCCGAACTCCAAAAGGAGTGAAATGATTTGAATTTCTTTTGGAAGTGACTCATAAAGGACCCATCAGTTCATTATCATCTCATGCAGTTTGAGGCATCATTCGAAGGAGAATCTGTTTCGTTTCACCACATGTATAACGATCTGAGTGGACAGTCTCGCCCTCAAATATCTGAACAAAGGTGGGTGTCAACATCTGTAACACTTAGTGACATTGCGATCGAATCTTCTAGTTTCAGATTCTGAAAATGTACGGTATGTTCGAGGTGCTGTGCATTAGATCATACCGCCCCTAAAACTGTTCGGAGCTTCTCCGGCAATTCTCCACTTGCACCGATTTTTACGTTCTTCCCTTGTACAACCCCATTTTTGCTGGATAGCATTTTTTACTACCTGGCCACTCCTTTTTCAACGCGGTGCTCCAATATTTGTTACATAGACCTGTTCCCCTCTGGGATGACCGCCTGTGCGCACCGACTAATTAAAATAGCCTCCTCTTCTTGGAGGAGAATCTCGAGAGAGACACCATTGAACTTAATATTTTTGTCAGTTGTATGAATAGGTTTCGGATCAAGATATCGAAAACAGTCCACAGAATTTAAACATACCTCGCACAGTTAACTGAAAATGAAACGTTCAGTACATATTCAAGGAATTGGATTTTAGAATTTGGGTGCAGTCCTTTGAGAATAATCTTAACATAGTTGTCGCACCACAACAATGTTCAAGATGAAACACAAAAAGTGTTTTCAGACTCACAGTACATTTCCTAACGTCACTCAAAGGTGAATTTTAACCGAAGTGAACTTCGATTCACATGGTCCGTGAGTGAATGGAACACTCGTTCACAGGTCAGTCGTCATTGGAGATATTATCAGTGTGCGATTGGTTTGTCTTCTCAAATTACTAAACGTTTGCAAATCAAGGTCGGTAATCAGACCAATTTCCACATAAACAGCAGTCCGACAGATAAATTGGCCACTTTTCATGCTCCGTGGGTGTATCTGCTACTTATCCTATCCATAGATTTTTACGAGGTCTCTGGAATCTCAGACGACCATAATTAGGTGTTATAATATCACCGTTAAGCTTGAGATTGAATCAGTCCAAATGGGCCCGAAAATCAGAGCGTTTTCTTGAAAAAAGTCACAACCGTGTTGTTTTGATGACTCGAATAACAAATATCAGTGTCAGACACATAACTCCAGACTAAGTCCAAGGCCCTCCGTCTGACTCGAGAGGCAGAGTTTGGGTTCGAACCACAGACCTTCCGGTCAGTAAATTCACGATCTAACTACTTGGGCCATCTCGCCCCATATTACGTCTATACGAATGATTCACTCTTTCAACCAATGTTCTACTGGTAGTCGAGTATTCTTTTTTCGGATGTACTCACATGGTTCATGTTCGAAGTTATACAGACCATTGTAAAGTACACACAACAATCAGCAGTTGTCTGCACGCAGCTGTGTCGGGTTGAAAGGGCGCAAGTTATGTGTAACTTGATTTCAGTTTGCTGTCCGTACTACAGACATTAGTGACTGACCAGATCTCTTGAGGGAACATGCAAAATCACACGCGTTCATTTCTTTTGATTGGACCGTACGAAACTGCAGAGGTATGTTCTCACTTTAAACTGGCAAACTTTATCGCCTGATCAGGGTTGACAATGATCAAGGCTCATCTTCTGATCGACGACAAATTTTGATCACACTGGACAAAATCAGTCTAAATTGTGCCAATCGATTGTCGGTAGAATCGAGTGGAGCAACCGTGAGACCCGATTGCTCTCGACACATCTTAATTTGCATTTAGATAGTGTACCCAAGTAAAGAATTATCCAGTACACGAAAATATCTAATAAAACCTACCCTCAGTGGAACCTGACATCCGACATTTTTTCTTGTTTTCTCCTACAACCCTAGGTTGCCATAAATGAGTCATATTACCGTATTGGAACGTGATCAGGAGTCTTAAAACCTGGTTAATGACTCCGTGGTTTACGCAGGTAATGCCCGGATTGGGTTTGTCGATTTGAGCCCACACAGAATGTCCCTTGCATTATAAAGAATTGGTCATATCGCGCCAACTGTTTTCCCTTGATCCGAGTTTTTCTCAACTATGACAAGATGCTACCCTCCCTAAGAAACCATTTTCGGGAGGAGTACCAAAATAATTTCCCTAGGTGAGGGTAACTCCTTATAGATGAGACGAATGAGATAAACCGTTTCGAAGTGAGAATTTGGTTGAACCTGATCATTGTGAATATTTCACTTGTGATTAGCAGGTCAGATATCTGATATACATCGAAACCTCAACCGTGTTCAAAGGGATTAGCCTACTAAGAGTTAGCCGGGTCTTGTTTCTAAAGAAAGTTTTTTTATCTGGCTATATTCAAGCAAACGACAGCTAATCACAGCGCCCTTCAGCAGCTTGTGGTCGGAAAGCTGTGGGCTCGAAAGTCTTGATTGCTTGAAAGGTTCTATGGATAATCTCCAGTAAGAATGAAATAGCTGTACAGTGCATCTCGGCTTTTCAGCACGGACTGGCTTCACTTGCAGAGGGAAATCCAAGCTGGGAACCCCAAATCTCTTCACACTGCCTTCAAAAACCGAGGAAGTTAGTTGATTTAACACGAATTCCCGAAAGATTTATCTTTGGAAACGATTTAATTTCGCGATTGAAGAGTAAAAGAACTGACATAGTACCGTAGCATATGTTTCCGGTCGATTCTAGATGAATAAAGGGGACACAATATAGCGAAGACACTGTCATCGTGGGAATGGTCTCCAATGGATATAAAATTGAGATGAAGATGTCGCTAGTGGTGGCTATCAAAGAAACGGTCTAAACGACTGTGGCTACGGTAAATCTGTTGGTAACATTGACAGACTCCTTGTTTGTCTTTAGAGTGGAATCATTACCGCCACCCAAGCTGTGGTTAAGTTCATTCGGATCATCTGCTACCTCGATTCTCGTACCTATCCATCGTGTATTTTGCTCCCACGCAACTGTGCAGCCCCAAGAACCCTCCAAAATCTTCTACGGGATGATACGAATAACGGGGGAGAATAGTTCTACTACCAGGTGGAGACGTTTGTACCGATCAGATTCGTTCATGTCCGAAATCGCGCATTGTTGACGCATCTTCGGTGATCCACCTATCTATGCACCAATTCGGCTACCAAATTTTACCCTGTCACTGGCAACCCACCTGTCATCATTCGAGGTGCCAGAAAAATCAATAGCATCGCTCAAGCGTGGACGTGTTCGTCTGTTCAGATGCGATAATTCAGTTGTATCCAGTGTGCCCTGCTGGAGTAGTAGTAACATACTTGTCTCGGATTTCAGACTTTCGGATTTCGAAACCCGACACGGCCAAG